CCTAAGATATGGACTACTTTTGATGGTGAATGGTAAGTGTTAGAGGCCCCGCTGGGGAGAGAGTAGCTGTAGGGTCGGAATTAAAGGTACTGGTTGTTTGTTGGATTAATCAGTCTAGTGATGGTCAGAAATTAAAAAAAAAAAATCTTTATTCGAATAAAAAGTGTACTTTCATTGTAAGATTACTTGTATATCTATCGGTGTGTCATTGCTAACTTTCCGAGTTCCATACGAATGCGTGTCAAAAATTCAACGTAAAGGGCGTATAGGCAAAGCGTATTGAGTTTCTACTTTACTTTGATGATCACATTTTGGCTACTTTGATTTAGCGCGCGTCTTCTTCCCCGAGGATGGAAAAGATGCACGCCGAGAATGCCTGCCTCTTTCGCCTCTCTTTTCCCTCCTCTCATTCAGATATTCTTGCTGCCCCTAAATTATGCATGGGCTTGAACCTTCCAAACATCAGTCTTGTAAAGGCCTTCGTAGTCCGTCAACCTCATGCATCAATGGAAACTCATGTTCGCTTCGCCAGTCACGTTCCGCCTTTTTCTTTTTTCTTTTTTTTCTTTTTTTCTTTTTTTTTTGAGAGGGTTTGTGACTGCTTCCAGAGTGGTAGTATCTCCCCCCCCCCCCTCACGTTCTCTCTCTCTCTGTCTCTCTCTCTGTCTCTCTCTCTGTCTCTCTCTGTCTCTCTCTCTGTCTCTCTCTCTGTCTCTCTCTGTCTCTCTCACTGTCTCTCTCTCTGTCTCTCTCTCTGTCTCTCTCTCTGTCTCTCTCTCTGTCTCTCTCTCTGTCTCTCTCTCTGTCTCTCTCTCTCTCTCTCTCTCTCTCTCTCTCTCTCTCTCTCTCTCTCTCTCTCTCTCTCTCTCTCTCTCTCTCTCTCTCTCTCTCTCTCTCTCTTCCCTTGCATTCTCTCTCTCTCTCTCTCTCTCATTCCCTTTGCCTTTCTCTCTCTCTCCTTGTCTTTGTCTTTCTCTTTCTCACTCTCTTTGACTTTCTCTCTCCCCCTTTTAAAGAAGCAAGAGAGAGCGATGGAGATGGAGATTGAGGTGGGAATGGAAATGGAAGTGGCGATGGAAAGGGAGAGTCTTTTGTCACATTCTCCAGCTCCATCTCCGCCCCCCCCCCTCTTCTCCACTCTCACTCACAGACTCTTTCGCCTTTCGCGCTTGCTCTCGGTTCTGTCTTTCATTTATTTTCTTCGCATTACTCCCCGGAGATACGAGCAGTGTGCATACGCGACCGGACAGTTTCTTTGCTTTATCTTCGTTCATTTTGTTCCGCGGAAAGTGAACGCGTTCTTGCATATAAATCGGTCTTTTCTGATGTTATTTTTTGTCGGTTTGTATTTGTTTCTATATATATGTTTATGTTATCGGTTTATATTGTTTTCTTCTAATACAGTTGTTATCTATAGCTTGATTTGTTCATATAGATGTTTCCCCGTGTATCATTATTTTCTTTGTTTCTTTCTTCTTTCTCTCTCATGGCTTTGCGGGAGCGCGTCGCTTGGGTTATTCCGAACGCGCGCGAGTTCTTTTCCTTATGTTCTTGTTCATTTGTACATCCAGTTATCATTAGCAGCTCCGGGAATCTTGCAAAAAAAATAATGATAATAGAATAAAGAAATAGGAAGGATATTTCTAATCTAATTATGAGAAATTCTTCAGTGTGTTAATTGAGGCGCGACGTTGGGAGTTAAGGCGAGAGGGAGGGAGGGAGGGAGGGAAGGAGGGAGGGAAAAAATCTGAGGCATGAGAGTCGTTACTCAAGGCAGGTCGTCGGTTAGGATTCCATGCTCGTTAGATATGCAATAACATGAAGAAACAGAAGAAAAAAAATGGTTTAATGTAAATGCGCATAAAGCCAGCTCAGCCTTGGCCTTCTAATATTCGGGGAATAATCATAGAAGGCGAAAAAAATGCTGTCATTTTGTTGCCCAGTTATTCCCTTACCTTATGTTTTCGTGTGGGTGTATGTGCGACAGCTGTGCGTGTACGTGCGTGCGTTACCCGCCCGTGCTTGTGCGTGTGTGATCGCGTGTGCGTGCGTGCCTGTCTGTGTGTGCATGTAAATTCAACAGGGGTTTTGTGGAGCGTGCACGGGGAGTGAGAAGCGCGCGCGGAGGGAGGAGGCCCGCGGGGGAGACGAAGGGGATATCGGAAGGGGTCTTGGGGCTTTTATTGGGCGCCGCGCGAGGGCCTGGCGTTTCGATTATCCGAGCGGGGTCTCGTCCTTGGATTCGCTGGCGATGGGCTACGTTAATTGGGAAGAGCTTATCGGCATATTCGCCGAATGAAAGGGTAGGCCGGTGTAGGAAAGCTCGTTCGCGCTCTCTCTCCCTCTCTCTCCCTCTCTCTCCCCCCCTTCTCCCTCTCCCTCTCCCCTTCCCTCTCCCCCCCCCTCCCCCCTTCCCCTCCCCCCCCTCCCTCTCCCCCTCCCTCTCCCTCTCCCTCTCCCTCTCCCTCCCCCTCCTCCCTCCCCCCTCCCTCGCCCCCTCCCTCACCCCCTCCCCTACCCTCTCCCACTCCCTCTCCCTCTCCTCCTCCCCCTCCCTCTCCCCCTCCCCCACCCTCTCC